TATGACTTTTACAAGACACAGTTTTGTCTTTTGGGGTAGTCAAGGACTTCCTGATTGTAATAACATAATTCATTTATAGAATGCTGAACATGTTCTTTGCAACTGCACTATTACAAAAAAAACCTAGTGTGTCTTATTTATTTAGTGATGTTGGCTTATTTCTGTGGGCTCAGTTTGTAATTATGATATCTCTGACAGCAGACAGCCATTCAGCAGCTGTGGGGGTTGCTGTGATCCGTGCTAAGTCCTTTGAAATAAAGCACAGTTCACTGTGGACAGCTGTAGAAACAGATTAATTTGGGCTGTTTGGAGAGCAAGTTACCATTTGAAGTGGAGAGCCAGGTAGAGGCCTGAATGGCTTCTGTGACAAAATGACAGAGACACAGGAAACAACTATTATAATGAATTTATTTTGAATACTTTAAATTATTTATGTCAATTTATATATTTTAAAACGGCAATTTTGTATTTGAAAATTACCATTTGACATATTAGGGTCAATCTTGGTCCCACATGCTTATGTTTGGGGATTTACTGTCTCATCTATCTTTCTCTTTCTTCTACTGTAGCTCCATGAGCTCTATCTTTAATCCCTAGCCCATGTCCCCTCTCCATGTCTATGGAGGTAAACAATTGTTGAATTATGTAGGCTGGTTTTATTTCAGTGACAGTTCACCTGTCTCCCTTGCTTCATTTAACAAGGTAACAGGTACAGGCTGACTGCAGCAGTGTAAATGTGATTCTGTTTAATTTAGCACTTTTTTGTGGAAGGTGAGATAATCAGTTGTGTGAGAAGAGTATCTACAGGTTGGCAGAGCTACAGAAAAGTGTGTATGCCATTAGTTGTAGTCAAGTTCCTTTGTGAGCCATAAAGTCGTGCAGGCTAATGTATAGTAACGGAAGAGAGGTGCATTGTCTGCATGGGTGAATCATCAAGGCATTGGATTAGATGATAGACTGTTTGAATTACATGGCAGAACTTCCACCTCTTAATGTTACCAACTACTGATCTGATACCAGCAATGTGCTTCCACATATTTACAGACTCTATTAGCAGTTAGCGACATCATCGTGCATCGGGGTATAGAGATAGAGAATAGCGAGGGTCAATAAAATAATTGCCAAACATTGCAGTTAACCAGTGTGTTTGTAGTAAAGTGGGCCTATTAAGGGCAACACACTGATGGTGAATAACATAATTTATTCTATTTAACTACATACAGTATATTTGCAGTTGTATGTTGTGAGTGGCTGGATCTATTGAACTCAGAATATTTGCACATACTACTATGAGAAACAATATTTCAGCAATGGACACGAGTTAATTTCATAAAAATTCATCCAGAGAGAGAAGATATGCAATAAAGGTCCTCAGCACACATCAAACCAGAGATCAATCAGTCACAAGGATGCCCCAATATAAAGAGCTTTAATAGAAACCTCCACTCTGGCATACAGGCAGCTCAAAGCACAGCATGATATTTGTTTGAAGAGGTTGGGGGGTTACTATTACCTCTACAAAAGACATTTGACGGTAATTGTAGACAATGTGATTTTAACCTGGATACAAAACTCGCCAGCACAATATGACCTTATCCTGTTAGGCAAAATCCATCCTTTGCTTCATGCCAGCCGGTGACTCATTCCTGACTTCACTAACATTGCCTCGCTCATCTGACCAACCAAAATATAACCTGATATCTGTGTTACAAATTTAGCCATAGCCTTTTAATTCCCTTTTTGACCTTGCTTATCCCATTTATTACCAAAACACTATCACTACATAATGCATTTGCTCTAAATTGCTGAAACACAGCTTTATCTAAGCCTTTTGGGAAGACACTGCAGATAAAAAAATTAAATATAATTTAGAAAATAACGCAGCAAGCCTGTACATATATCCGTATATGATCCACAATTTAATTATCTTTCATGTAAAATGTGCTGAAACAATTTCAACAACTTTCTGTATAACTCGAAAAATTTAATGAAACAGTAACAGTGTGCAGTGGAAATACGGATCTTCAAATCATTTATAGAGAGAGGGTATTAAACTAAATTTAGATATGGCATGGATAGTGTAGATCTAATAATTGAAGAATTCTTCCAATTTGGTTTTAAAGCACTGCTGCATGAACCTGTTCTTCTAGATGTGAGGTGTCTGTTTTAATCAAAACAGAATAATAGGTAGTGCGGAGGAAAATCATTTGTCCTGGGAAAGGAACACTAAAAGAGGAGATGTTTGCTTACTCAGGGCTGATAAATATGAAATAACTTGAATATCAGCTTGCTTTAGTCTTATCTACTATTGCATTCAATAGTTTGAACTTGAACTCTGTGGCAGGGCTTTAGTAAAATACTTTGGGTTGGTGGAAACAACTTCACTCTACCTTAGGGGATGGGAAAACTGACATGTTCACAACTGGGAAGCTTACAGGTGCTGTAAGTACAGGCCATTCAGAACAGAGATGAAATCTGAGAGCACGTTGGTTTAAAATATCACACAGCTCCAATTAGTTGCTTCCCAGCTGAGCGGAGGAAAGTGTCCTCATGTATTATTGCATTCATACACTTACATGCATACAGCCCCAGAGCTCCATCACCCTGTGATACCACAGTCCGACCAGGTCATTTAATAAAGACCACCATGGAGACTGGGAAAGAATGGGGTGCACATTCTGCTCCTCTTTCTTTGTATGAGAATGTTCAGAAATTCTAACACCTCCAATATTTAGTTTTCAAACTTAATATTAATTCCATCATATGAGGATGTTAATCTTTCAAACAGTCTCTGCTGTTCAATAAGTTATTTCAAAAACATGTAAAAGGGAAGAGTCAAATTGTAATCCCACTCTTATGCAAATGTTAACAGTCATGTCATTAGATGTAGACTACTGTATACAGCAATAAATGCAGTATGGTTATTCACTACATCTATTTCTGAAAACCCTATATTGTTTGTTATTGCAAAAGCATTATCCCAGTACGTTATGCCCATTATTGGTTCCATTTAGCCAGTACCTTAGGCCATTAGGTAAAATACAAGCACTCAACTGCAGCATCTGTTCCACCACATCTCTTGAAAACACACACACACACATTTGTTCGTAAGCAGCATAGTGCTTTTTGTCCACTAAATGTGGCCTTGCCACACGCACTGCAGGGGGTCACAGATTACGTATGTAGCTAGAGTATAATCAGTTGGATTGATAGTTAGATAATTGGTGAGATAGTCTACAGTGGAAGATGTTGGCATGAGACATGAGGACAAAAGTGGGATGAGTGCGTCAAAGAGTGAAAAAAACAAAAGGAAGGAACCTGGGGCTCCTAGATTGTGTAAAGGCCAAAAAATGGGCTTGCGGCCAGAGCTATTTCTCATTTTGATGAAAAACAGCAGCTGGAAGAACTTTGGGTATTTAATGGAAAACCTAATTGCAATAACTACAAGGTGCCTTTGAGCAAAGATTTTCCATTGGTCTTCCATAGACTGTAATTTTGCTGATTTTCTACCACTGGCTGAATACAGAAGAGATCTGCCCAATCAGGCACCCTCCAGTCACCAAACTGTAAGTATGGATAAAGGGCTATAGAAAAATAGGAGGATCAGCCATCCTTGAATGAGGAGGTGAACCCAGTCTTTGACTCCGAGCAGCAAAGAGGCCATAGTTTGTTTGTAGATGAACATGATGATTAGCTCCCAACTATCACAAAACTGAAAGGTCAACAATCACAACATTTTTAACTTGGTCTTCCCATCCTCTCTCACATCCTCTGCCATGCTTATATGATTCTTTCTATCACAAAATTAACTTCTCTCATCTTCTCTACACTTAACATGGTGTCGTCATGCACCACCTTTCAATACCTGAACACAACAGTTAAATGTTTCATGGAGGTCAAGTTAGAGGAAGTTAGAGGAAAGGTTGATTTTAGTTCATTTTTGACACAACCTAGCAGATGTTCTTGGTCTATGCAATATTGAAATTGCATGTCTAGTAGGAAAGTGGAGTAATGATACAAACCCCATGAGCAGCCCCTTGAGACAGTACAGCTACAAACATCATTCAGTACCAAAATGTTGGCTAGTTGGGTTTATGCACATCTGAAGGGTCCATCCACTTGGGAGCATGAATTTGCCATGAAAAAGACTTTTAGATTATGGGATAGCTTCTGTCCTGCATAAATGTCATTAGATGTGAATTATTTGCAAAATACTTGAAGAAAATCTCTAGAAAATATGTCTAGTAGTTGAGAACTGTGGACTTAGCATCACCCCCAGCCTGAGGCTATAGGGCAGAAGTCTGATTAATTGCACGAGTCTTATTTAGCCACATCAGTATTTGTTATCATTGGGAAATACACCTTTTTTTTTTTCGTCTTGTGAATATGACAAAACAGCAACACTGTGAAATGATGCATCCAAATGCATCCAAAGGCAAAAGAGAAAAGCTTCCAGTCTAGAAGGTTCACAGATCAGATGACACTGAGAGAATATGCTTGTGACAGCAGTGTCAAAACCTGGCAATTTTCGAGGCAAATGCTCCAAAAGATGTTGGGGACAGAATAACTGAAACAGGTGTAATTTGCCATTGCTTAATAAATCGATGTGGAGTGAGCCCCTGAGTTCCATGTGCATATGCAGGGGCAAAAAATACAAGAGTTTCCAGGCAGCAAGGCCTGTGTCCCTCATTGTTTATCTTCCCTCTCAAAAGAGACGGAAAGTACGTCACTGAGCAAAGTTAATTTCCCCCCAAAGTCAAATGGCTAATGTCAGCACCACTGTTAATCAAGTAAATCAACAGGTGAATTGCAGCAGGATTACCAGCTGCAGCACTAACTAAATCACATATTAAGTGCATAAAAAGCAATTGATTAAAATGACCATATCAAAGCAACAGCTTAATGATGAGCTCAGCAGTGTATTCGCCATGAAATTGCATTCTCAACCTGTTTTGTCAAGCCAGAGGAAATCAGTAAAGCATACACTGTAGTGAACCTACCTTGTCTTTCAGCATCTTAGCTTTCCGGCTGTTCTGTACAAGTCGTCTCCCTAGCTTCTTGGCATACCAAATAGAGGCAAACATAGCGACAGGTGAAATTATAATGTTTTCTGGTCTGCAGGGACAGCCCAAACGGCTCTATCTGCTGCCCATCTGGAGTGAGTGGTCCTTATCAGCAGAGTATAGCGCACAGGCAAGAGCAAAAAAGAGGGAGGGAGGGAGGGAGAAAAGAGAGGATGATGCTGAGAGAGGGAGAGCATCTGCACAGCAAAGTCAGGTCTCCGTCAGCCATACAAGCAAGAGCAGGGAGGGAGAAAAAGAGAGACGGGGGAAGAGAAAGGTTAAGGAAGAGAAAGGAAGGAGGGACCAATGGTTTCCACGTGGATACAGCATCTTGAGCACCAATTAAATTCTCCTAAGAGATTTTTGGCACCTCCCTTTTTCCAGAGGTGCGGGTGGAAAGGAGTGGGTGATGCGCTGCTGTCACGATACCAACGCCAGCAGCACTCATCATCCAAAAGCCAATCACAGCACTGAACAAAAACTTACTGAAACATCACATTTTTACCACAATACTTATATATGATGAAAAAAATCAAGCTATAAACCTTTAGATTTCTATCATCACAAAACCCACCTTACTACATATGGACAGCATTTCAACAGCATAAACCATTCAATATATCTGCATTGCTTAACTGTCTTGCTTTGATGGGAACAAGCTGTATTGTCCTGCACATTCTGGATACTGGAGTGTGCACGGATTATGTGGAAGACAACATTTGATCATGAGTTAAGCACAAAACTCTGTTGCATTTCTCACAGTGGGTCAACACAGGAAGCTTTTCAGCCCTGTTTTTGAGTCAGGTGTCTCATGTGTGTTTGACAGTACAGATTCACTCCTATTTAAATCAACCCAGCTCTCTACGCAGGCCTCCTCTCACCTTTACTTTCTCTCACAAGACAATTTTTTATGCTTTTAGAAAATCCTTGCGTTTTATGCATATAACTACAGCAACTGTGTATTGGACTCTGTTCCTTAACGCCTCCTGTTCAGACTCTGAGGTGCTGCTCCGACTGCTGCTTGTGCCATGCTTGTGTAGACACAGTTTAACAGAGTAAATGCTTGAGGTGCAATTGCTTCCCTTTGGTGGTCAACGTATGCAATACGTAGAGCTGAACTCTGAGAGCTGTATGACTCAAACAGATTTGACATACAGGTGCTTCCGCATCTATTAGATGATTTAAGAAAGGTAGGACTTTAGCCTAGAGAGGAACTGAGAGTTGGGGCCTGGAAGCTGCGGGATCCCAGGAGCAACAGAGTTGGTGGCAGCATGCATTATGATGATGGAGAAGGAAGATGAAGATGAAGAAGGAAGGAACAGTAAAGAGAGATGCACCATGTTTGACTGCATGTGTGACCCCATGCAAATCCCGTCAGTCAGCAGTGTGTGTGTCCGTTGCCCCGGCGGTGGGGAGAAAACTGATGAAGCTATAGTATTGAAAGTAGTAAAAGTATTTTTGCTGTATGCACTGAAAATGTTTATTTATGTAATTTTGTTGTGTGAATTGTGTAAACTGTTATTTATATTTATAAAAAAAAGCAATTTGTTTAATGCATTGTCATTTTGTGTTTTTTAAAGAAAAACAATACAATTGGTTCTGGCATCGTTTAGGACCCAGAGACATTTATCGATTTAGCACCGGTATTAGAACCACACAAATGTCCCTGACTTTGTTCAGACAAAAACATAGCCTCAAAAAACTTGTAAGTCAATCTGCCAATCTCAGTGGTTTACAATCCCCATGTGGCATCTCCGTCACCACCATAACCCCATTATGTAATTACACTCTATAATAGCCTAGTCACTGCAGCAACGCTGTAACCCTTTACCACTACAAGTGAAGCTGAGACAATGGAGACAGATGCATTCAAAGAAGTGAAGTATACCAGAGGCAGGATCAGGAAGAAGTAAACTACAAAGATCACAAGTTAAAGATGTGTTTCATTAATGTGCTGGTTGCTGACATCACACCTCATAATGGGCCATATTAACACTGCTGCATCACCCTCCTCTTCCTCTGAACCCAGACACTGCATTTTACCTCTGGGCTTCAATTCAAACCTCTCTCATCAGTTAGTTCACTTGCTTCGCATCCAAATTATTCTGGAATAGAACCACGACGAAGGCACAAAGGCCTGTTCCTCCCACTTCAGTGTTTGTGTTGACAGCGTATTCCGGACCAACGTCCTATAATAACACGGCTGCCCTTCTATCACTAAAGAGAGGGAAAACTGCAGGCTAATTGCCAGGAAAGATGACACCACACAGCTGAACAATGATAAACTACAGGGTGGGGACTGGGGAGGTGACGTGGCTGTGTTTTTCTTCCAAGAGCCTCAGACTGTCTCATTCTGCCCTGGTTTGTCCAAAAACAGTTTCAGTTTGGAATTACAGCAAATAATTGGAATTTAACAATATACAAATTTTTTGTATCTATTTTTCCTTCCTAACAAGGACAATGATCCAGACATTTGGTGTTAGCAACCCAGAAGTTTTCTGGGAGTAGAGTACCCACAAAAACACATTATTATGTCTCCCCACAAATAAGAGAGCTTCCAGGACAGGGAAAACATAAAAACCAAGGCCAAGTAATTGTAAAATGCCCAGTTCCATCAACATGATGGTGGCTGTGAGAAAATCCAAACCTTTTTCAAGTATCAAATCTACCATTATGTTTCCTGTTGAGAGACAAATTTTATTTGCAAAGCCAATATTCACAAATCCCAACAAGGTGCACAATCCTCTGTTCTTAACCCTCAACTACAGTGAGAAAAAACTGACAAAAACCCATTTTTATCAGGGGATAAAACAAGGAATCCTGCAAGTGAGGGACCCCTCTCCCAGGACAGATAGATGTGTAACAGACCCCATCAACAAAATAACAATATTTAAAACGTTCATGGAGTGTCTAAAATGAATGGAGAAGTGTATTAGTAAATATTTATACAAAATAAAATGTAAACATATATGTATAGCATTATTGTAATTAATAGTGGTATATGTGGGCAGGCATATTGTATATCTAAGCTAGCTGGTTAATAATAAGCATAATCAGCTGCCCCCCGATTCCACAAAGAACCAGCCTCAATCCTGGATCGGGATGGAACAATGACTCAACAAAATACAGGACTTTCCCACAGGACACCACTCCTTGTTTCTCATGTGAAACAGGTCGGAAATGGATCCCAACCATTTTTCTCTTGTCTTTACGACCATATGAATTGCTGCATACTCGAGGATAATCTGGCCAGTTTTTGATCCAATTTGCTCCATGTGACAATTGTGAATGTTCCAAACTGGAGGCCAGTTGGTGCAGATTATCTGATCAAATAATCAATACGTGTGACGGGTTTACAAAACAATATTAATTCTAATATTAATGAGACTCTTCGATCCCAAAATCGTAATTATCAAACATGTTTGATGGTGTAAATGACTCCGTGAATTTGAATGTCGGGCCTGAGGGACACTTGGATGACACCACAGTAACAGTATGGAGACATTTTATGTTTTGGTTTTCTGTTATTTTTTTAATTGCTTATACAGTGCTTCTCTATTACAATACACCAATGATGAATTGGGAGCTATTTGGGGTTCACTGTCTGCTGAAAGATACTTTATCATTGTATTTTATTGTAACCATGACAACTAATAGTAATCTAGGGGAAAATGTATTCCTTATATTCACATGCATATACTTATAACCATGGCAAAGTAGAACTGATAGGCCGCTGCCAGTGCAATCCACTTGTTTATTTTGGTAACAAGAAAGCTGATGACAGAGGTCCAGTCATTATTAGGGCAGTAATTCAATAGACACTGCAGTGTCTCAAATTTGGTAGTTAAGATTTAGACTTTAGAATTCCCACTGCTACTTTGCAAGTCACCATCGAGTACGTCTCCGACAAAAGCCCCAGATTGACACTCAATCAGCAGTTGCCAGTCGCAATGTGTCAACTCTTATAATACGAGATTAAAGAGGCTTGCTGACGCACTTCTGACATGCCAGTATGCCACAGACTTCAATTTTATTTCCAACCTGCTGGAAATCTATCCTGAGCCAGTGACCACTCCAGCCAGCTCCAGCCAATCAGAGTGCAGGACGTGTGGAAAAGTGGTCAAGGTACATGTAGTGGTGAGGTTCCTGCTGATATTTTTACACTGCACATATCTGTAATCAGGGACATCAAGCAATAACCACGTGTGTCAGGGACAGGGCAACACAAATTCAGTGCAGCTATTAACTGTGCTGTGCTGGTGTCGCATTCTGACAGAAAAATGCGGCCCTCAGTGTACTTTATTCTTGATATGCTCTGAAGCATTTAACCTCCTCCAGCCTGATGTGTCTGTCTGTGAGCAAGATGACACATAAGAGCACTGTGATTTTGTGATTTAAGTTTGAGGACCAGTTGAGGGGTTTGTGTAAGATAGTATGTGAGCCACCTGTCACTAGTCAGCTGTTTAGTCTGAACTCTGCTTGAGAAGACTTTTTGTTCTTACTGTGCCTGTCTGAATATCACACCATGAATGAGTATCAACACTACATTCCCCAAAGTTGGCATGAGGATAGTAAGTGATTACTTCCTTTTTATTGCAACTGTCTAAACCATATTGCAGACTATTTAAATAAGACATGGCATCTTATTTATTATCTAAAAACAGGTAACACCTAGTGGTAAAGAGAAGAGGGTTCTTTCCTTGCAAATACTCTTTTTATGAAAGGTGATTTCAAACTTATGTATAAAGGTTAGTTTACCTTAATTTAAGGTAGCTTCTCAATCTAAATATTGTATGTAAAATGGTGCTGATACTTTTTAGAACTTTCTATGGAGGGATTGTTATATTTGACATTTATCTGAAAAAGCTGAACCTATGAGGGAGCTGTAATGCAGATTCATTTATACATTTCAACAACAACACAAGCTGGTCAAGACTGTCATCTTAAGTAAAGTAGAATTACCGCACTGCAGTTGGATGCCAGTGCAGTTTGCATATATATTTACATATTTCTACCTTAAAGGTCCAGTGTGTAAGATTTAGGTGAACGGGAACTATTGGCAGAAATTGAATGTA